TAATTGATACAGTACCATTGTTTTGCCTTACAAATTGATGGTCTTCCTGTCTCTCTGAGCACCATTTTGCCTCCTCTTTGGGTATTTGCTGGGCCTCCGACATGAAATCCTGGTAACATGCGTACCCATGAAAAATCCGGTATAAAAAGCACAATGGTAATGTGCATGGAAATTGTGGAACTCAAAATCACTAACCATAGGCTGGTGTCAGCAGACTTTGACATTAGCCATTAGCTTTGGTACCTGTGCTGTGAGAAACATATAATGCCCCAAAGAGGTCACGGCAGTAAGACCTGCAGGCATGCTGTGCATCAGTAGATATGATTCCTCAAGGCAGTCATTACAATGATAGCTGCAGGCATGCTCTGTGCATTAGTGTTTGGTGGTTTGGTAGTCTGTCGCGTCAGCGTGGCCCACGCTGCCCCGGCACCTTGCTGTTGGCTGTTTGGTCCACTAACCGCCCATCTGACTGCCCAGCTGACCGCCGCCAGGCTGTCTATGATGGCCGGCGCGGTCGGCAGCTGCCTGTGACGACCAGCTGCCTATGACGGGTCAGCCGCCTATGATGGTCGGCTGCCTATGACAGCTGGCCGCCTGTGATGGCTAGTTGCCGATGACGGTCGGCCGCCTATGACGGCCGGCTGCCGATGATGGTCGGCTGCCGATGACGGTTGGCTGCATATAACGGCTGGCTGCCGATTATGGTCGGCTGTGTATGACGGCTGGCTGCCCATGACGGTCGGCTGTCTATGACTACCCGCTGCCGATGACGGCCGGCTGCCGATGATGGTGGGCTACCTATAATGGTCGGCTGCCTATGACGGACCTGCTGCCGGTAACGACCGGCCGCCTATGACGGTCGGCTGCCTATGACAGTCGGCTGCCTATAACGGCCGTCTGCGTATGACAGCTGGCCGTGACGGCTAGTTGCCGATGACGGTCGGCTGCCTGTAAACGACTGGCTGCCTATGGCAGATTGCTGTCGATGATGGCCCGTCTGTCTATGACTGCCGGCTGCCTATGACGGCCGGCTGCCTATGACACCCGGCTTGCGCTCCGTTAACTGGTCGGCGGAGCGCGGCCTGAGTGCCTCAGTATCACGGGCCCCGGCAGCAAAGGGGCGGGGGTGAAGGCGTGGAGAGTCTGTCGGAGGGTCGTGGTTAATTGGCCTCCCGTATCCGATGAGCGCCTCCGCGCGGCCTGTTTTTGCCGGTGTGGCCGTGCGTGCGCTCCCGCGGACCTGGCCGCCGGCGCGGGTCGAGCGCTAACGCCGCCTGTGTTGCAGCCTGCGACGCGGCCCCTGGCCCAACATCCAGGACACCAGCGGGTACACGGCGCTCCAACCACGCCGCCCTCAACGGTCACATGGTGAGCTTCCGCCGCCCGCCGCTGCGGCCACGCGGGTCAACCCACCGCCATGCAGCCGCCGCGGCGCGGGGCTCGGTGACCCTGCGCCGCGCCGGACCCTGGGCTGGAGGCGGCTGTGGTTTCCCGACGTCGCTGCCGTGTGCTGTGCGTGCCCGGGCGGCCGGCGGGCCCGTACTGTGATCTCCTGCCGTGTGCTGTGCGCGCCCGGACGGCGGCGGGCCCGTGCTGTGACCTCCGGCCGGGTGCTGTGCGTGCCCAGGCGGCCGGCGGGCCCGTGCTGTGATCTCCGGCCGTGTGCTGTGCGTGCCCGAGCGGCCGGCCGGGCCCGTGCTGTGATCTCCGGCCGTGGTCAGATGTGGCCCTCGGATTGACGAGGTGGAGTTGTGTGAAATTTATATGTATGTACATGACCTGGAACTAACGCTGGGGGTGAGGCTGTAGGGTGATCGAGCCCCTCCCCACTCTCCAACATTAAAAAAAAATAACACTAGGTTTACGTAGCTTGTGGAAAAAACGACTAAACGCATCTAAGCCCCCCCCCCCCCCCCAATTCTGGACCAACTCATGCACACCTGCTTGACAGACTGCACGTGCGATGGGATCTTACGATACGAGGTGTGTGACGCGTGAACGGCTTATGTCACTCGTTGACGTGCCTGACGCAAGGGCATATAGGACCGCTGATCCGAAGAGACGCGACCGCCCACCGGCTGCGACACGTCCGGCGGAAGCGCCCGGGTGACCGTGTGAGGTGTGACAGCCGATCGGGTGAGATCGTGTGACTGCCGACCAGTCACCGGCGGCCGGCGGTGGGCGCGGCCCGGCGCCGCTCCGTGCCGCCTCGTCGGCCGCGCCGCTGAATCATTCATCGCGATCTGGAGATGCGTGTAGCGCCGCGCGGCACGGCCGTCGGGCCGCTGCGAAGTCGCCGCTCCGCAGGGATTCGTGCGCCGATTGCGCCGGCGTGCCGAATGCGGCGATTCGGCCGGGCGCACGGCCCGCTTCCTTGCCCCGTATCGCGCCGCAGATCCTGAGGCACCGCCGGCGAAGCACCTGTGAAAGCCGGCCCGCTCGAGGGTCGGTGGCCGGGGCCTGGCGCGCGCCGCCGGCGTCAGTGATCGCGACGTCGGAGCCTGGCGCACGTTAGGCGGGGAGGGGGAGGTATGCGTGCACGCAGCGGCGTGCGTGTGCGTGCGCTCGGGTGGACGTTGTGGAGTGCTGTGCTTGCGGTCGCGGTGCCTCACCGCCTCCGTCCATTGGCGCGCCTGTCGTGCGTGGATGCCAAACCGTGGCACCAGGCCATGCATGCCACCAGCCGGCAGATGTTGCCCTTTGAATCAGATCGTTATTTATACATCCAGTCGCTTGATCTTCTACATGGTCCTCTATCGGCAGTGGGCCAGTGCCCTTCGAACGTCTAAGGTCCAGGAGTGTAGTTTCCTATTCAATTGAGGGGTGTCAGCCCACCCCCTGCCCCAACTTGGGCTTGAGCTTCCCCCTCCGCCCAATGCTTTGAGAATGACTTGGGCCAAATCCGGGAAGGAATCTCTTTTTTGGCCTTTTTGGACGTAGGTTATGTCATTGTCATTGCTTAGCCCCCTCCCCTCCTTCAACTCATTTTGCGCGAAAGCACGCAGCTTCCAAGAAGACCATATGCATCAAGGTGTGATAAATACTTAATTTGTGCTCAAAAGTTCACTGAGACACTTGTAATGAGCGTATTTATTATATCAGCCGCCGTAACAATGTTAGAAGCTGCATCGCGTCCAGCACCGTTTCCGCGTTCATCTGGCCGGCTTTGTCTCGCCGGCCATGCTCCATCTCATCTGACGTACAAATGGATGCTGGTCGTCGCCCGTATGTCGACCGTGTCCGACTCTGGCGTATAAATGGCCGCTGGTGACCGCGCGTCTGCTGACCGGGTCCGGCCCGCGCTGAGTGGCCCGACCTCCTTTCGCCGGGTCGCTGGCACGCGGGGCTCGCAAACCCTCCGCACCGCCGCCGCTCGCCGGATCGATTTCCAGACGTGGACCTCGAACAGCCGCCGTCGGCGGCGACGCGGGAGCGCCGTTTTTTCTCGAGTCGCGGCGTGATTTACGGCCCGTCGGCGGAGCGGTGGCGATGACCGGAAAACGCGGCTGTAATATGTCGTTGCGTCGGGCCGTTACGCTGAGATAGCGGAGCGCCGCGGGGCGCCGCGGCGCGCCTCGCGCACATCCGTCTCGCCGAAGGAAGACGTCAGGCCGGGTGAGACCGGGGCGACGGCAGGTGCCGGCCCGGCGGCGGCGCCGAGCCGGTCGTGCCGCGCGACAGTCGGGTCGTACGGTTGGAGGCTGCTCTGCTCGGCTGTCTGAACGGTGGTGGCCGCGCGGAGAGCCGTCGCGGCCGCGCCGGGTGCTCGGCGCGCTCTGTGGACGGACTCTGGAGACGGACGCCTGTCTCCATTGTCCGGCGATGCTCGACTGGTTCCTGAGTGCCGCCCGTGACCCGCCGACCGCAGTCACGCGACGCTTCCGGTGTCAGAGCACGCCGGTCCGCTCCATTGTCCGGCTCGCGTGGCGTTCAGCGTTCGAAGCCATCCGGCCAGATCACTGTTTGTTTCGGTTGACCAGGATGTGCAGTGCACATCAGGGGCGTAGTTTCGTAAAGTGAGCATGTGAGAGCGAGGAGCTGAGCAGGGGAAAAGGGCGAAAGGTTCTCCCAAACAAGACATTAAAAGTGTGTATTTCATCAACTTTGGCCCACTTCTCAAACAACTTCCGAATGGTCAGGAGCGGATGTGGTGCAGCCACGCATGATGACACATTTCAGAAGCTGCGTTTGACTGTGGAGCAGTAATATAGGCAGAATCCGGCGGCATGCTGGCACGAAACAGGCTGCCTGTTGCCGTGAGATGGCGGTGTGGCGATAATGCCCGTGGCTCGATGTGATGAACGCCGTCCGGTCCCGGTGGGGTAGTACCGGCCGGCTGCACGCAACGCTGTCAGCCTCCGTGGCTCCGTAGTGTGGCCGGTGCTGTGTCTGCGTCACCTGTCACCAGACGTTCGACCCGACACAGCTGCGCACTCACCCTGCCCGTGCGCTCCTGCAAGCTGAGTCAACCGTACTCCTGCCACTGTGCGCCGAGCTGCGTTTTGGGGGCTGTCTTTGCATTCAGTCGTTTTCGTTTTCGGTCGCGCTTCTGGGACGGTATGGTATACTGTCATGGAATATGTTGCTTCGAAGCATTCCCTTCAAAAGATTCGCGCCGAATGGGGGCTTGGCGTACATCCGTGGCCGACGAGCGGCCGGTGTTGGCAGACATGCGGACAAACAGTATCCGGCAGCATTTTGCTGTCTCCGAACATTAGCTGTTGCGGGAGTGATGTTTTTCCTTGCTGAAACTAATAATGTTTGAAAGCAACTGATCTTATCTAACTCATTAAGTGTAATGGAACAGCAGTAAGCGTCCGAGGCAAAAACACCATGACTTCATGTCATAATTTCAACTCATCTTTCGTTGCGTATTCTTGAAGATTTTGCTCTAAATTTGCTATGCCAAGTATGTTTCAAGGATTTCAGGCACCGCAGGTGGGCGTCTTGGTCAATGACATAAAGCCGGGTGCCTGATGTGGCCGGAGATATGACGTATCATGATGATCGCCGAGACGTCAGCGACACTGGCTTGTGATCGGGGAAACATGGGCACAGGCACTCTCAAGCTTTGCGGGAAGCAAGCTCAGGGACATTCAGGATTCACTTACAGTCTTGCAGTACCATAAACGTCACGTTCAGTTTTGCGAAACTTGGTGCACTAAGCACCTTTTGGTCTGCATCAAGAGAAATGGTATCTGGTACTCTGTAAATGTACTCTGGGGCTGGAATGAGTTGAACTTTCCGTCCCGGTGCAGTTCAACTGCCAGCAGAAGAACTGACAACAGCATAACTCCATTTGCAACGCATCGGGCATAACCGGGCTTCTGGCATGGGAACCGGTCCCGCTTATTCCACAAATTGCCGACTCTCTGGTTCAAGCCTGGAGCGGGAGAAGCGCCGCGCAGAGAGCTCGGGAGGGGGGGGGAGGCTTGGCGGCGACACCGCCCAGTAAATGAAATGGAAACCAGCAGGAAATGAACTGACGCTCGTGCCCTGACTGCAGGCGTGCCGTAAGCGACGCCGTGCTGACGCCGCCGGCGCCACCCCAGCGGCCGCTCCGCCTGACGCCGACCCGTCTCCGCAGGGAGGTGGTGGCACTGCTGATGGCCCACGAGGCGTCGGTGAACCTGGCCGACCACCGCGGCTCGACGCCGCTCCACCTGGCCGCCTGGACCGGCAACGTGGAGGTGGTGCGCACGCTCATCACGCACGGACCAGGCATCGCCAACGTCGACTGCGTGGTGAGTGGCCGGGCCGGGCCGGGCCGCCGGCGGTGTCCGTGTGGTGGGGTACCAGGCCGGCAGCGGGCCTCGTCCGTGCCGTGTATGCTGTACTCGCCCGTCCCGCTGCTGTTTGGAGGTGCATCTGCGGAATCGGACGTCGGTTAGAACGTTGGTTTGTGAGCGGGGCAAGCGGATAACTATTGCATGCGTTATCGAACGGAATATGTTGGGGCAATATCTGCGCTTGCTTCGTGTCCTCCCCTTTCAACAGAAGCCGTATAAGCCTGCATACGCTGAGTTGATAGGGCATTTCGGTATACTGTAGGTGGTGGTACTGTCTGCATTGTTGTGGATGACGGCCATGACTGTTGCGATATGACATCAGTGCACACACACAGCCTTCTTTATCTCCGTCTTTGTCCTGGCGCCGCCGCGTATCGATAGCAGGTACTCTCGGCCGGGCTCGGTCCCGCACATTTCCCCGGGCGTGCCGTGGCCGAGCCCGGCGAGCGCCGGGCCGCGGGGCCGCCGACAGGTCCTGCCGTATCTCCTCGTCGGCGCTAATAGCGCCGGACCTGCGGCGCCGGCCGGGTTCGGCGGCGGAGGCGGCGCCGCGGCCGGCTGCGTGCAGGCGCCCGGCGGGGCCGCGCTGTCGTGCGGCTGACGCGGCCGGCGGCTAATTTGCCGAGACGCGCGGTCGATGCCCCAGCGGGCGGGCGGTGCGGCTGCCCAGACGGCCGCGGGTCTGACTCACAGTTGATTCAGACCCCGAGGGCTCGACGGGGGGACACCGGTGTTGACCCGGCGCCGACGCGTCCCGGGCGTGGTCACAGACTGCTTGGCTCGCCCCCTCCCCGCTGCCGCCGCCCTGTTTTGGCTGAGGTCATCGGTCGCCGACGTCGCGCCGGGTGTTGCCGTGGACTGCCGAGATAGGCACGTGGTCAGGGCTGATTCACGCCCCGCTGCGACATCGAACCGTCTGCGGACGCGTCGGCTCCGGTTGGGTGGACAATGGTATGAGTCAGTTCGACGAGGCGGTGGTCAGCTGTCTGATATAGCCGCACGGAGGCCTTGGTTTAACCGCAGCCAAGGTCACCGTTCTCGCGTTCGTCTCGCAATTATATCAACTTCCTGTGGGTTGGCTTGACATCAGTCTCCCATATGAACATCAATTTATTCATTTAATTACCAAACGCTACCATCCGTAGGCGCAAAATAGCCACTGCAGTCGGCGCGCCCTGAAACACCAGTAAACAACAACAAACAACAGCCATCCATCGAAGTGGTGAGAGAGCCTCCAGTCCCGACTGGATTGTCCGTCCGCGTCGGGGCGCTGAGGGATGGAGTGTTACGGCCGCCCAGTCCGACGCTGGCCATGGACCGGCGCTGCTCCAGCGGGCCGCTTTAGAGCTAGCGGGCCGCTCCCGCTGGCAGCCCGTGAAGCGGGAGCAGCCGCTCGGCCCGGGCCCCCCGCCGGCCGGCGCGGCTCGAGTGAATCACCCCCGTCAGCTGATCGCTGCCGATGCCGTGTCGGCGCGGCCGGAATGCGCCCGCCTGGAGTGCGAAGTCCGCCGCCGGCCACGGCGCGTGCCAAGCGCGCCCGCCGGTGCTGGCAGGGGCTCCCGCCGCAGCACGCGTGCCCTAACGGGACGCGTGGGATCGGCCGTCTGGCAAGGAGACGCCGTCTGGCAACTAGACGCAGGAAACGGCGGCACAGGAGAGCCAGATATGGTCGATATGTTTAGTTGTTTTGAAGCAACCGGCCTGTGACGCGAAATACCATAATGTGAGGACGTTGCGCCCAGTAAAACTTTCAGAGACCGGGCGCAGTCCTGCAGGTTTTTAATGAAAAGTGCTGGCGCGAGCCGCGAGTCTCGGCGGGCAGTGTTGTGACCTGCGCGTGGTGTTTTCTCTCACGCCCTCCTGGCGCGGCGCCACCGCGTCGTCCGTTTGTCACGCCGCACACGCGCGGCTGACCGGAGCGTGCCAGCCCGCGGCTGGCGCCGGACGCGGCGACACGAGCCGTCAGTCCCGCCACACGGCCGTAATGACCAGGTGCTCCGCCCCCTGACCTCCAGCCGCCGATGGTCGGACTCCGGCCAAGCGAAGTGCGCCCTGCCGTCACCCTTGACCTCGGCCGGCGTTTTTGTGCGGGGCCGTAGCCGCTGTTGATCTGTTTTCTAATAGCGCTGGGAATGTCAGGCGGGCGTCGTCACCGCCGGAGCGGCCGTCACAATGCGGCCATTGTGCGCCGGCCGTCTGCTGCTCATCGCCGGGCGGTCGCGCCGCGCTCCGTCAGACTGAAGCGAGCGCGTCGCGCGGCGGCCCGGTGGCCCGAGGCGAGCCCCGCGCGCTCACGCGCCGCCCCGAGCCGCCGCCGCCGCTGTACGGCTGGCTCGGCGGCGGCCGCCGTCTGCCTGTCAAGCCGGCGGCGCGTCCGTGAACGGCGCGATCGGGTGGGCTGCAGCGAGCTCACTACGCCGACCGCCGGTGGTCGGACGGCCGCGACGCCCGGGGACCGTGACGGGCTGGAGCGGGCGCCGAACGGGCGTGATGGCGGCGCCGGGAGACGGCGGCGCGTCCGTGAGCGGCGCGGTCGGACGGGCTGCAGCGAGCTCACTACGCCGACCGCCGGTGGTCGGGCGGCCGCGACGCCCGGGGACCGTGACGGGCTGGAGTGGAGGCCGAGCGAGCGTGATGGCGGCGCCGGGAGACGGCGGCGCGTCCGTGAGCGGCGCGGTCGGACGGGCTGCAGCGAGCTCACTACGCCGACCGCCGGTGGTCGGACGGCCGCGACGCCCGGGGACCGTGACGGGCTGGAGCGGAGGCCGAGCGAGCGTGATGGCGGCGCCGGGAGGCGGCGTTAGCGCCTGATTAATGGCAGGGCGAGAGGAGAAGCGTGTCCGCGGCGCCGTGCGCGCCTGGGAACGCGCCGCCGTCTTCGTCCTCTGGGACGGCCCGAGCCGGTGGCTGCCAGGGCGACCGTGCGGTTCGGAATAGCCGCCGTCAGCGGCTGCAGCGGCGAACCTGACGCGGCTGGTGCAGGAGCGGTGCTGTCATCGATCGTGCCGTTGCAACGGGGTCGTCGGACCTGGCAGCGGTATGGTCTGGTCTGGTACAATTTTCGTGAATATCGCAAGTTTGATTCCCCTCGCGTCGAGTGCGGTTCGTGCGTGCCATGTGTCCCGGCGGGTCAGACCAGATGCTCTGTGTGATACGGTCGGTATGTGTACACGCCACACGTCAACAGGCGACTGCTCTTATCAGCTGCCCGAGGTGTCGAAACATGCCACGGACCATCCATCGGGCGTCTTATCGTGTTCGCATCTGGCCCAGGCGTGGACCCATCCACCGAGCTGGGCTAGCCTAACCGGGTTATAGAGCCATCCCGTCGGTCCGGTCCGGTCTGACCTGACCTGACCTGACCTAACCTGACCTGGGTGTCGTGCCAGGCCGCCAACCTGCTCAGATCTGCCTCGGGGTCCGGCGACGGCGCGGCCCTCGTCTTTAAACGCGAGCCGCCGGCCGCCGCCAGCCCTGTCTTCGTGCGCGCCTCGCTGGCCGCCGCCGCCGCCGCCGCGCCGTTGTTTACCCGACAGAGTGGTCACGTGGCCGGCCAGTCACGTGACCCACCGCCCAGTCAGCTGCCGGCCGGTCGACGGCGGTCCGGTGGCGCCGCTCCAGACGGGCTCGGGCGGCTGCCGGCCTCACGTGGCGGTCAGAGGGGGAGGGGAACTGTGCCGGGTCAGACACCTCGGGCAGATCCAGGTCAGGCCGCGGCAGGGGTTGGGGGGGGGGGGGGGGGGGGGCGGTTGATGATGGAATGCATGTGGGGTCTGGTGGCCAGGGGCTGACAGACTGGTAAGGTGGACCGAGCAGCGGAAGGTTCGGCGCAGCGTGTCGCGTAGATTCTTGCACGTGAACTGGGTACGCCATTGGCTGACGAACTTTGTAGAGCATGTTGCGCGCAGTGTGTAGTTACTAATTGGAATATCACCTTGTAAACAATTAGCTATTCTATCGTAAAAGGTTTTGTCAGAAATTCAGTTGTTGGGCAGTAGCGGGCTTTGGTTCATATTAAACACAAGAGTGGACCTTAGGGTTGTGATCACTGGCCTGGCATGGCTCTGTCTTAGTTCGGGTACAGGTCAAAAACCCGCCTTAACACGTATCTAACCTCAAAGGGCATATCGACTGGAAACAATGTGGGAACCAAGTTAGATATGTTTATCTGGATAAGTTGCCACCTGGTCTGGCTAACGTTCTATCTCGAGTGGATAGGTGGAGACCATAACCGTAAAGCCTTATCATGACTCCCCCACTGTAGTCCAGTTGTGATACCACAGACCAGGGGCCCATGACACGTGCCGGAGCGCGGCTGCTCAATAGAGCAGTCCTGCCGATCGGGGTCCACCTCCACACCGCTGCCGTCCTGCCTGCTGCTCGGCGCACGCTGCGGAGGCGGTCGTCCTGCCGTGGTTCGCCCGATCGCCTGGTGACGAGCCGGTGTGGCTTTGGCGCTGCGGCGTGGACGGCCGTCCTGCCGTGGATGGTCTGATCGCCTGGTGACGAGTCGGTGTGGGCCGGACGCCGCAGCGTGGACGGCCGTCCTGCCGCGGATGGTCCGATCGCCTGGTGACGAGCCGGTGTGGGCCGGACGCCGCGGCGTGGACGGCCGTCCTGCCGTGGATGGCCCGATCGCCTGGTGACGAGTCGGTGTGGGCCAGGCGCCGCAGCGTGGACGGCCGTCCTGCCGCGGATGGTCCGATCGCCTGGTGACGAGCCGGTGTGGGCCGGACGCCGCGGCGTGGACGGCCGTGCCGGGGCTCCCCCGCGGTGATCTATTGCCGGAGCGATCGGTCGTGACGCACCGGGCCGCGGGCCGGCGCAAATTGGAAACAGCGGCGCCGTCGCCGCGGCTGACGGATGGCCCGGGAGTGGCGCCGCTGCTGCCAGTCACCGCGCGCGGAGGACCGGGGACCGGTGGTGGTCCGGCCGCCCGGCGGCTGTTGTCGGAGGTCCGCGGTCCTGTCGTGGTCCGTGGCCGCGGGGATGGCGTTCGCCGCCCTTGTCCTCCTGTTCTGTTGTAGTAAGAGCTGGCGGCGCGATCGCGTCCACCTGAGGGGCCGAAACTGCCTCTTCGTCCAGCCGCGTCCCCCGGGGGCGCGGGGTAGGGCTGCGTCTCCCCGACACAGCCGCCTCCCCGATATCGCCGTCTTTCCGACACCGCTGCCTCCCCAACACAGCCGCCTTCCCGGTCGCGGCCGCCCCTCCCCCCGTCATAGCTGCCCCCCCCCCCCCCCGACACATCCGCCCTCCCGTCGCGGCCGTCTCCCCGACACAGCTACCTCCCCATCGCATCTGCCTCCCCGACACAGCCGCCTCCCCGATATCGCTGCCTTCCCGATACCGCCTGCCTCCCAGCACAGTCATCTTCCCGTCGCGGCGCCTCCCAGCACAGCGCCTCCCGTCGGCGGCCGCCTCCCCAGCACCGCCGCCTCTCTGTCGCGGCCGCCGCTGACCCAGTGTTGCCGACGGCGTCCGTCTGGGCCAAGGCCGACCGGCCGACGGTCGATCCGGCGCCGCCCGCCGCCGCCGGGAGAGGCCCGCTCGATCGGCGCCGCGCCGCCCGCCGCCGGCGACGCCGGCACCGCCGCCGTCGGGCCCGCGCGCCGCCGCTTGCCACCGGCCGCTAGGGACCGTTCCCGGCCGCCGGCGCTGCGCGAACACGGCCGTGGATTGTCTGTTGTCCGGCGGATGGGCGGCGTGTGGGGACGATGGCACTGGGCGACTACGTCAGGCAGTCGGACGGCCCCGGACGGCCTGCCTCCTGAGGCGACCATTGTCTGCGTGGCGTGGCTGCCTGCCGTCGCGAGCCGGCCGGCGAACGGCTGGCTCCGCTCCGTCGCAGCACGGACAGCTGTTTGTCCGTGGCGCGCCTGGCTGCAGCAGGGCTAGAGCCACTGACGGCTGACGGCTGACCGGCTGCGGGCGCTCCAGACCGGGTGGCGACGCCGGACCAGGCTGAAGCCGCTGACGGCTGACGGCTGACCGGCTGCGGGCGCTCCAGACCGGGCGGCGACGCCGGACCAGGGCTGGAGCCGCTGACGGCTGACCGGCTGCGGGCGCTCCAGGCCGGGCGGCGGCACCGGACCAGGGCTGGAGCCGCTGACGGCTGACCGGCTGCGGGCGCTCCGGGCCGGGCGGCGGCGCCGGGCCAGGGCTGGAGCCGCTGACGGCCGACGGCTGACCGGCCGCGGGCGGGCGGCGGCGCCGGACCAGGGCTAGAGCCGCTGACGGCTGACGGCTGACCGGCCGCGGGCGGGCGGCGGCACCGGACCAGGGCTGGAGCCGCTGACGGCTGACCGGCTGCGGGCGCTCCAGGCCGGGCAGCGGGGCCGGACCAGGGCTGGAACCGCTGACGGCTGACCGGCTGCGGGCGCTCCAGGCCGGGCGGCGGCACCGGACCAGGGCTGGAGCCGCCGACGGCTGACGGCTGACCGGCCGCGGGCGCTCCGGGCCGGACGGCGGCGCCGGACCAGGGCTGAATCCGCTGACGGCTGACCGGCTGCGGGCGCTCCAGGCCGGGCGGCGGCACCGGACCGTCTCCTTTCACAGCCAGTGGCTTCGTCCGCTGCCCGTTTCGCCAGGCTGCTGTTTGTCGAACGTCTCGCGACAGATGCCGACCTTTCCTGGTCGGCCGGCCGTGGTGCACGAGTCCGTGCATGCTGTCGTGTGAACCTCCCCGCCAGCGGCCCGGCCGGCGTGGCTGCCCGGAGGTCGATCTGTCCGTCGCCGTCCTGGCCGAGATCTCGCTGTCCGCGTGGTGGTACTCCCGAGCGGTGTTTCCCGGCAGTCGCCGGACCTGCCGGCGTTCCGCCCGTCTCCGGAGGTCCGGTCGGCAGGCTCTCTGGCTGGTTGGTCCCGGTGGTTGGCCGGGTGCTCGTTTCAGCTGGCCGGCGGGCTGGGCACGATCTGGGTCGCGCCAGCCGGGTGGCCGGCGTTGACACGGTGTCAGTGGTGCATGCGTCCCTCGCCGGCGGCCGGGCAGCGACAGCGACGCTCTTGCCGGGCCGCGGCTGCCTGGGCCTGCGCTCGGGTGGAAGCCGTGCCGTCAGTCGGGACCGAGATCCGTCGGGGGCGGGGGCGCGGGTGGGCTTCAGGTGTTTGACCTTGGATCCTATCTAGTCTGACTGAACACTGCTACGTATGTATGCTTCACGCTTGGGAAGATGGTCTCTTGTTTAGTTGTCCTCCCGTGTTGAGCCAATGACGCTACAATTTCCGTACAGTACTTACTTTAAGTTCTGACTTCCGTACAGTACTTAAATTGTACTTACTTTCGTCATTGTACACGGGTTCGTCACAGTCCCACATTTCCTTGTCTTATTGGCGATGGAGCATTTGTAACACCGACGCACAACATAAGGCGTTATGCCACCTTGAATGCTTGCAAAGCCCTTCTCCGTCCTTCAGCTCTTGCGTTTGTTTTTGTAGGACGCTATCGTATGCGTGCAGCCGCTGTCTGGAGTTGTTTGACGCAGAGTCTGCTGCGTCGGTGAGTTTGTCCAGCCGCGTGTTTCATCACCGCCGTTGAGCCTGCCCGTGTATCAGACGTCTGGCTCTGACGGCGACGACCGGCGTCATTAACCAGAAGCGCCCGGGCTGACCGGGTGTCAGGGGTGCCGGGCCGAGGTGCGTGCCGTCTCGCGGCGAGCGTGCCGTCGCCGGCGCTGACCTCTGCCGCGCCCCGCCCGGCAGAACAAGGACCACGAGACGCCGCTGCACTCGGCCTGCCAGTACGGCCACACGCCGGTGGTGCGGCTGCTGCTGGAGCACTGCTGCGACGCGGCCGTGCCCAACTGCCGCGGCGAGACGCCGCTCGACCTGGCCGCCCAGTACGGCCGGCTGGAGGCCGTCGAGCTGCTGGTGCGCGTGCGACACTCGCTGCTGGAGCCGTACCGGCCGGGCACCGCGGCCGGCGACGACCGGCTGCCGCACACGCCGCTCCACTCAGCCGCCATGAACGGCCACAGGTGCGCACGGCGCGCCGCCGCGCCGCCGCCGCCGCCGCCGCCGGCGACCGGCGCGGCGGCGGCGGCCGGTCAGGGAGCCGGGCATGTGGGGAATATCGACGGATCATCAAAGCGAGTGGAGAATGGGGAGGTTGAACATAGTGTATGTGTGTGTGGGGGGGGGGGAGGGGCGGGCATTAGGGAACCAGGAGGGACCGGAAAACGGATGTGTGGTGTGTCACTGGGTCAGAGTCATTACCTCGGGGTGTGTGACTGTGCTGTGACCTCCACGTGATTACGCTGGCATGCATTTTATCCGTACTATGGCATGAGACTCGTTATGTGTGTGCCCTCGCCCGCTCTGTCATATAGGCTGGAGAACACACCCCACACGCCACCATTCGAACCATACACCCATGAGCATCTTCATGCGTGACGGAATGCATCGCAGGGCATCTGCTTCCCCATATCTGCTACAGAAGTCACGCCTTATCTCCAGCACCGTGCCCTTCCCTTCCATGCGCCTGTAATCACCGCCTACCCCACCTGACTGCGGCCGCAGTAGGACTGACCTGCACAGCGTCCCACTGGACCGGAACCTCTGCCGTCCCGACGCTAATCCGCTCCCATTATCACAGCTCATCACCTGTCAGTTGGGACCGGCCGTGGCTCGTTCCGCCTAATATGGGCGCCGGGCCGCGCTCGTGTTAAGGCCGGCTGGAGCGCGGCGGCTCCTCCACGCGCCGCCGGCGCCGGCCGCTCGGCCGAGCGGTACGGCACGGCGGCGGAACGGCAGCACCGGAGCGAGCGGACGCGTTGTTGCGGCGTGATTCGGGGCGGTTACGCCGGCTGGGAGGCGGCGCGGCGCCCGCACCATGACCCCGGACGGCGTCGGTCGGCTGCTGCTCACCGCAGCGCTTCCCCCCACTGTCTGGGGAGGGGTGGCCCGCCGGCGGCCGGGCCGCGCTCCGCCGAGGGCGGCCGAGATGAGTTTGTGTCATCGATCCTGCCCCGGGGCGGGGCCGGAACGGGCGATGGACGGCGGGCGCCTGGGTCGGCGCGGCCGGCTAGAGCACACGGCCAGGGCCTGAAGGCGGCCTTTTCTGGTCTGGTCTGTCTGGTCTGGGTCAGGTCTGGCCGTGACGCCACGGACTGCGGTGGGCAAGCTCTGCGGTGTGTCGCCAAACCTCTTCCACATAAAGCGCCACACTCGGCACAGTCAGATCTAATTATGGACATCGAAGTATAGGGTCGGAGGGGCTTTGGACCGAGACCGGCTAACGTCTCGCAACGGGCCTGGGTCATCACACGGCGTTGCGGGCTCAGTGACATCACGTGACCCCGTCCCCCGAGCTCCGAGCTCCCTTGATCAGCGGTGGGCGGGGCGCGGGCGTGCCGCGGCGCCAGGCTGTCACGGACGCCAGCCGGCCGGACAGCCCGGCGTTAGGACGCTACCTGTCGGACGGCGGCGTAACGCCAGACGACGGCGCTTAGCCAGCCGGGGCGTATGGCGGCGCCAGGTGACGCGCCGCGCCGGGACGTGTCCGGCAGCTGTCGGCGCCGCCGCGCCGGCCGTTAGCGCACCGCCGGCGGCTCCTTCGGGCTCCTTTACGCGGGGCCCGCCCGGCGACGGCGGTCAGGCGAGTCGGTTCGGCCGCCGCCG